TCTGCTGACGCTGAATCTGATCCATGTGTAATTCTTTGGGAAGCTTTTGGCACATCTGATGAGGAGATTAGAAGAAACAGAAATTCGGTGGGAGATGAAAAAGAGGAAAAAGAGAATAGTGGCTTTTCAGGGTGTTTACAGATTTCAGTTGTGTCCCGGGTGTTGAGCGCAGGGTGTGTGGTCGACGCCTTCAAGTGCTACTTCACCGTCACATGGGACCTGAGCTCTGATCTGCTGAGATCTTTTCTGTGGACTCCTGGTTTAACGCCGGTGGAGTTATAATATCTGTGTTCTGTCATGTTAAAGGAATTTCAGAATGTGTGGAAGTCACGTCAGAACCAGCAGCGAATAACAGACCTGGGAATAAAGCACCAAACCACCGAGAACCATCCAGAAACACAGATCCTTCCCATGACCCAGCGGCCCCGGGTCCTGACCCGCTGGATGGTCCGATCGGTTGACCTCAATTTGCACTTCAGACTCACAGCCAAATAAAAAAAGCACAGAAACACAGAAAGTGGTTTCAAAGAAAAGCATTCGATTTCCCAAATCCCTTCAATCTGTCCGGGGGCTGAGAGGACGGGCAGTGACTGGTCAGCGTGAGCTTCTACCATCAGGGACCACAAACACTCGGGGCCTCATTTATAACCATGACGTACTTTCAGACCTCATTTTGTTGAGCTTCTCGTGCAGAAGTTGGGATCTATGACAACAAACTGGCACGCTGTGAGAGTCTGCTCAAACCTCCACCTCATCAAGATCTGGATTTTCATTTCTGCAGCAAATTACATGAATGTCAGTTTCCTGAATGTCTGATTTGTTTCATTAGGATCCAGAAATTATTCTCTGAGAAAAACAATGAAAAATTCAAGAATAAAACGAATTCAGCTCATTTTTCTTCAGTGAAATATTTGACGTCGTTCCCCGCTGTTCATAGAAAAGTAACATTTGACCACATGAGGGCGCTGTGCACACACTGATAGAGTGTCTGACTGTTGGTGACTCACATTATTCTACATATTTCTACTTTTTCCACTTGTTTTTTGAAGTTTGTGTTCCTCTCTGTAATCTCTTTATGATGTAGTAATATCATTGTACTTAAACACATGTATTTTATATTTGCCCCCCCCCCCCTGTGCAGAACCCTGATCACAGACGAGAATCTTGTGTCTGTTCAGATTCTAGTTTCTGTTTCTGTCTGTTTCATTGATCACTGGATTTTTGCCGTCCTTGTTTTTTGATGCTATCATTTTACGAACGCCTCTGATTTCCTGGAGCATCTTTCCTCTGAGTTTCTCGTCCTGTGGTCGTCGTGCTGTTTGCTGAGCAGCAGGTGAAAAATCCTTTGAATCTCATCGATTGAAACGTTTGACTCGTTGAATTATTAATCGGGAGCTCGACGTGAGTGCGGATCGACTCTTTCGATACCTTTGGTTCTCTTTTATCAGTCACCTCATTTATTTAGCAACAGACAAAAAGCAGCCACAGATCATCGGTGTCTCACTGAGTCTCAGTTCCTTGAATGACGTCTCGTATTCTCTGGGTGTCTCTCTGCAGAGCTTCGTTGTGAGGGTCGATCTTCAGAGCGGCTTGGTAATCCTGAAGACCTGAGAAAACACGTCACAAACAAATGAGCTGACATTCACCTGAAAGGTCCTGAGAGACATGCAGCTGTGATGTGTTGTTATTGTCTTGATTAGTGTCGACATTCAAATTTGTAACTGGACCGAATGAAAACGACAAAGCGTAGAAACCTTCAGTGTAGAGCTGGAGCTGACAGAAAGCTGATCCTCTGCGGACGTGGGCTCGGGCTCTGGCAGCAGCGTTGGCAGTGACCGGTGGAGTCAACAGATCGAGAGCCTGCAGAGAAACGTGAGCAGATGTTTACAGCTGCTCTACATCAGCTGAACCATCAGTTCAGTAGTTCCTGTGTAATCCTGCTGACAAACAGACTAACTAACTAACTAACTAACTAACTAACTAACACACAAACCATGTTTGTTTTTGGTTCTCGGTTAGTCTTGTATTTCTTCTTCTACACCTCAGGCACATTTCACAGTGGTGCACGTGATTGTGTTGAGACTGAATGTCCACACACTGTCGTGGAATATAAGGAGCAGATTTACAGCAGCGTCCCACACAGCAGTGATCAGGTAGAGACACCAGCGTGCAGCTTTGGTTGGATGTTCTTTGGAACGTGCGGTGGAGAACAGACGCTACAGACCTGGGAGGAATCCTCGATGGCCTTGTGTAGATTCCTTAACTTCAGATGACACGCGGCTCGGTTGGAAAACAGAGCCGGCATCTGCCTGTTGAGCTTGATGGCCAGGTTGTAGACGTTGACTGCACTCAGGAAGTCCCCGGCCGCAAAATATTTACTGAAAGAGTCGGTTCAGACGAGTAAGAGAAACACAAGTGCTGTTAAATATGTAGAGGAGATTCTGTATGAAGGGAACAGGCTTCACTTACTCTCCCTTGTCCTTTAAGCAGTCGGGGTTCCTGTCCTCCTCCTTCAGGTCTTTAAGCTCTTCAACATCTGCATTCACTGCACGTCTGGCTTCAGCTTGTTTCCTGAGCCACTGATGGTTATGAAGTGAAAACACGAAGCATCCAAACATTAGCTAGCACAGAGACATCTTTCAAGACATGTCTTCATGAGACACGTTACAAAGTCCACAGAGAAATAAAAAGTCCGTGCCAGGACTCGTGAAGGATGATTAATAGATGCATTATGGGACAGACGCCACAGAAACATCCTGCCGGCAGAAGAACTGAGAGTCGAGGCCGAGTGGTGGACGGCGCCGCGGTGGTTAGTCGCATCCCGGCAAGATGGCTCCCCGTTCGAATCCCTACTGGTCTTTCTGTGTGAGCTCTCACATGCAGCTCCTCTGGCTGATTTCAGGAGATTACCCAGAGTTCAGTGCAGGTCGGAAAGCCTCACGACCAGACGGGGAGGTAATGAAAGAGGACTCACCTCTTCCTCCTCTTCAACTCTTGACTCTCTGAGGGCTGTTGGAAAAACTCGCGGGGTGAACGTGACTTGAATGTTTCCCGTGCATCTCGGAGCGGGAAGGTCCGCTCGTTTCTTCTGACGCTTCACTTCTCCGCCACTCCGACCTGAACACAGGAACAAACTTATCATAATAAACCCAACAAAGGAAAGTTGGCACAAATTTAATCAAATAGGAAAATTACAAACCGGGTTGAACATTTCCTTCAGCTCCTGTCTTCTCGGTCAACGCTTTCAGGTTGTTCTGATCGTCTCTCTGACGTCGGAGTTCAGCTTCTTCCTCTGCTCGTTGTTTCTGTGTCCGCTGCCATGCTTCCAGCTCTGCCGTGGTTCTCGCTCGCTCAGCGTCCTTCGTTTTCTGGACGCTGTCTCTTTCCTCCTTGTCGAGCTGTGATCAATTAAAACAGACGATGACATAAAAAGTCCTGATATATTTCAGCGTGGACGCCTGGCGACGAGATGTATGAGCAGATATTTTACCCTCATCATCGTCTCCAGTGCATATTTCTTCTCTGCGAGCTTCTTCTCCTTCTGGGATCTGGACTCTGCTGAAAGCTTCTCCTGGTATTTCAACAGAGCTTGTTCTCTGATCTCCTTCTTTTTGGCTTTATCCTCTGAAGCAAAGTAAAAAAGCTTGTTACTTGAATAACAGTCTGCTCGCGAAACCATTGAAATCACTCGATCCAGGGTGGAAACGGAGGACGTCACAGTTTTGTGAAACGTCAACGAGATCAGCTGGATGCTCTCACCTGTGTCGATCATCAGGTGATTCCAAACCTTCTTGTCTCTCTTCGTCAAATTGAGGATTGCGACTCCGTTTCCCACCTTTGCTGTGCTCCTGTCATCGTCGACAGGCTCCAGCAGGAAGGCTTCAAACAGATATGGGGGGAAATGCACCTGTGAAGAACATGGAAGACCTTTCATCGATAAAGAGAAACATCGAACCCTCTTTTAAAACCTTTATCGTTGTATCTCCACTTTATAAAATGCAACCATGTGAGTGTAGACATTTCACTTAATGATGCTTTCTTGGTTTATCCAATCACATGCTCATAAAAAAGTGTGTTCTAACATGTTTACAACTTTGTGTTCGTCGTAACTAAATGTGAGATAATTGGTCGTTCGGATATTTATCAGCTCGATTTGTCACAAAGGTTTTAACGATTCTTAAGGTTTCGGACCTGAGTCAACATTTGTTATCCCAGAGAAAATTAAGTTCAGTTCACGTCACGATTTTTGAGGAAATCCACACAGAGAAGAATAGATAGACAGATAAATAAAAAACCACAGATAGATAGAAAGCTCACCTTGATGTACTGGTCTGTGGAGACGATGTCCACTCTCTCAGCTGTGGCTCCTCTCAGAGGAACGTGTATGTGAACAGTGGAGTCGGTCTGAGTCCAGGAGTGATCCGACACCAGCAGAGGCATTCTGCTGCACAGACACCGAACCAGCCTCCAGAATCAAACCCTGAACACAAACTCTGAACACAACTGAAACCACAGAGACACACAAGATCCTACTTCCGGGTTCTTCTAATGTTTGGCGTCTCGTTTCTATGGCGACCGCTGCCTTCGCGTCCGTCGGGAAAAGTCAGAATCCAGCTTAAAACCAGTTTAAAACCAGTTTTAGATTAAGAAGAGTCTCAGATGCACGTGAATGCATCATGTAATGAAGTTAAGCTGCGACTTAAACTAAGCCTCCACCTCTTAAACACGAACGTGACGTGGTTCCAGGTGTAAACTGAGAAAAACCACCCGAGTTACCGGACAGTTTGAATCTGACGGGGAACGTCGACCGGAAATGACGCGCCTTCAATCAGCGGCTCCACCTGTGGGGGGGGGGGACACAGAGCCGGATGCTAGGAGGTTAGCACCGCTGCTAACAACAACCACAGGCCGTAGAAACTCTTAACAAGTTCTACAGCCAAGAGGATGGTGACGCTCACTGTTCGAGACCCGCGACAGACACGTGTTTCCGTCTGCACGAT